AACACAAGGTCTATGATAGGCTCGAGCTCTCGAATAGGTTTTACATGTTCAAACGTCTGTCATTCCTTCAACATTGTCAGCGCTTGTGACTTGTGTTTGCTTGAATGAGTGATTATTGAGACACTTCTGAACTTATAAACTAATGAAATCACCCTTAGGAAAATGACTACTGTATTTCAAAGTGACCGTAATCGTAAATCTTATCACTCCAATTTTCTTCCATGTCCATCTATGATGGTACTTCGTCCAAATCACGAAGTACTTAGTAGCTGGTGTTTTAATATTGCGACATGGAGATCATCAATATGTATGACGATTTCAATATGGCCCGCTGGCAATATGGCAAGACAGAACTTCACTCGTACGATTTGTCATTGAGTACGACGAGTTTTGTCATCAAATTTAAGAACGACAAAAGCTGTAATGTCAAGCGGTTAGGGTTAGGGCGCCGCGACGTCCCCGCGATCTGAATTTGATATCATTAGAAAGGTAATGCAACCAGTAGTACAGAACTGCAAACGGTTTTGTAAAATCGCTGTTGGTTCTGGATTTATACGATTTTTAAAGCTGGGGGTTCAAGGTTAGGGTTAGGGCGCCGCGACGTCCCCGAGAGTTGAATTTGATATCATTAGAAAGGTAATGCAACCAGTAGTACAGAACTGCAAACGGTTTTGTAAAATAGCTTTTGGTTCTGGATTTATACGATTTTTAAAGCTGGGGGTTCAAGGTTAGGGTTAGGGCGCCGCGGACGTCCCCGAGAGTTGAATTTGATATCATTAGAAAGGTAATGCAACCAGTAGTACAGAACTGCAAACGGTTTTGTAAAATAGCTTTTGGTTCTGGATTTATACGATTTTTAAAGCTGGGGGTTCAAGGTTAGGTTAGGGCGCCGCGACGTCCCGAGAGTTGAATTTGATATCATTAGAAAGGTAATGCAACCAGTAGTACAGAACTGCAAACGGTTTTGTAAAATCGCTTTTGGTTCTGGATTTATTCGTGTTTGAAGTTGGAAAGGCAGTGATAATCTCAATGCTAGAGTGAATGTACTGGGGTGAACGCAAACGGTGTCTTTTGACGTACTTCAGTAGTGAGACACGATGTGTCACACACGAGACAAGGACCTTATGTGAAGCTGTGGATACACTGCCTATCAAATATGAATATATATACACGAAGTACTCTCTAGCAGTCTGGGCCAGTCTTCTCTGTAGAGTCTGTGCTCTGATCCCTGCTCTGATACTAGTACCAAACGCACTCGACGTGGGCGCGTCAAAGCTAATGATTAATTGCCGCTCACTCCACGGGCCCCGGTAAAACTAGGTCAGACCCAGGCCTGGTCAGAGCCCGCGGAAAAATTACTCTCCAGTCCAAGCCAGCAGAGGTTTGGTTTGGGTACTCTCTCTAGAGGTTTGGGTTATTGTTGGCGTGTTTTTAGGATTTTTATCGCTTTTTCTGCATTGGAATTGGGTGAAAAATATTCCAGTGCAACAAACAAGCCCCGATAAAATTCCTAAAAACATGTGCACGCCTAAAATAACCCAAAACCTCTGCTTGGAGTTGGAGAGTATAGTTTGGGGTGTATTTTTGGCGTGTTTCGATTTTTGCACTGGAAGCTTTTTTATGCCAACGGTCCGTTGGGTTGGCGTAAAAACTTCCAGTACATAAAAGAAACCGATAAAAAGCTTGAGACGCCAAAAATAAGCCAAAACTAACTTACTAAGCCTCGGGCCCCGTGTAAACTTATATAAGTTATAGTCAAGATGTCTGTTCTTCAACCCTTCCATATGAGAAAGGCGGACCGTCTCTTTGGATCCACGAAGAGCAGTTTGTACGCGTTTGTCAATCCGGATAGATACTTTCTGGAACGGTTTGACGATCAATATTTGAAAGTTGAAGGTGTGCGGCATTCCTTTCCAAGCAGGGGAACCTGGGCTTCAGCTTGTTGTTGACGTGAAGTGTTTTTAGGCTTTTTTGTCGGGCCCGTTTATTTTTGACAGGGTCTCATGCGCGCGAACAAAACTGTGACAAAAGAGAAAATACGAGAAAAACGTCTAAAAAGACGTCAACAACAAGCTGAGGCCCAACCTCTGCTTGGAGAGTAATGCGACTGATGAGTACAGAGTACAGAAATCATCCAAGCAGCTGGCGCCAAACTGCGCACTGGCCTGGGGGCGTACTCTCCAAGCAGAAGTTGTGGGGAATTATCGTCACCTTTTTATATATGGCCGTTTGTTTTTGTTCTGATCCCCACCCGTCGGTGGCTAATGGAGCTTCTCTGGCTAATGGATACTGTCTGGCCAATTTGATACTGTCTTTTTTGCCACCGATAGGGATCTGCTTGGAGATTATGGGGGCGGGCTGACCGGCTCAGAGAAATCGTGGAGGTAGAGCGCAGCACTTGCCTTTACTATCATTATACTTAGAAATGGAGAAATGGAAAAAAAAAGGAAATGGGGGTGACTTTTTTGTCCATAAATGAACAAGACAAAGGATCTGCTGGGAGATTATTTAACGGCACGGCACGACAGAGTTGGTGACCTCTTGTCATGGAAGGACACTCACAGCGCTGGGGAAACACTCTGTTGGACGCCCCGTAGGGATCACTGATGCAGGACTAGAGTCCTGAGCTAAACCATACCGACTGTCGTTTGGCGCGGCTTGCCGCTCACCCCAACACTGCGCGAGACGGTAGGGCCATGGGCTATTTTCTCTAACAGACTTGACTGGCTATATCAAGGAGCTTTCATGAAAGCTCCTTGGCTATATGAACTATATCGGAAGAAAATTTGCCTGGGGAGTTTGGCCGCCTTGTAGGT